CTTTATTATCGCATTATTCGTGGACCCTTATTTGGATCAGAAAGCCTGTGGAATTGATTTGATGTATTTGATGCCACTGCCATATCCCACAAAGCTCAAAGCCAAAAGGAAACAGCTTTTATGAGCAAACAACAATATTAACGTTGTTTTAAAGCAGGTAGGTTTGCTTAGAGTAAAATGGATAAAAAAAAGTATTTCCCTCTCAAAATAGTTAATAATTTGGCAAGTTATACTTTTTTTTAGTTCGTTAAATCAATGATAGATATTTTAACCAATTTAGTTACCGAGTTAATATCTATTTGACACTCCAACAACCTCTAAAGTTCAGAAAGTAGGTTGTTTTCAATTTATTTTTTCTTTTCTTTTTCCTTCTCTCATATAAAGAAAAGGAAAGGAAAGACTGGAAAATGTGCAGAGATGGGGTGCTATCAGTTATGTGAGTGCACCATAAATAAACTAATAAGAAATATTCAAATAGGAATGAGAGAGAAGATCTTAATGTATTAAAAAATTGCATTGACAACATTATAAAGTTTGATGCATTTTGGCTCTTAGTATTCTGGAAAAAGCAAGCACTCAGCAAAAGCAATGGACAATAAAAATATAAGATCTTGAACTAAACAACCCATTAATAATCCTCTTCCATATTCCCAATTTTAAAATTTCAAAATCACTTCCTTCCACATAGCAACTTGCAGAACATAAACAACTGCGCTCCAGTTCCATATTCCCAAAAAAAAAAAAATTAATTAATTAAAAGAAGAATAAAGAAAATAGCTCAATAACCATCTGGGCATCACATAGAATTCCCGACACACTGCAAATTCTCCATCTTTTTTCTTTCTAGAAACTCTGTTCTAAGTTCTAAGAGACCACAAAAATTGCAGTAAGCAAACAAGAAAAACGCAGAACAAAACGATGATGATCGTCTCTGCCGTTTAGGTTTAGAAAGCAGAGACTGTTAAACATCACTCTAAAAAACCAGTCTTTGTTAAAATGGCGTTTCGAACTTTGCTGAGGTCTCTCCCCTTGAGAGTTCTTCCGATCCCTTCACACACAGAGAAAGACGAAATTTGGCTTCTTGCCAATTTCTGAGCAATCCATTCATGGGGAGGCACCATGTCGTCTTCTTCACCGCCGTATTGGTCACCGTCGTCATTTTTTCCGCAGGAACGGTCGCCGGCCGATGAGCCCATTTTGCCGTAAATTTTGGACCAATCGGGAATGTCCACCGGAGCAGAGGATCGATTTGCCGCCATCTGGGTTTCGTGGGTTCTTGTTGAAATGGATTTTGGGATCATTTTTGGAGCAGTGGGTACACGCCACGTGGTGGAAGAAGAAGAATTAGAAGATGAGTAGTAATAATCTGTGGACTTTCTAGAGTTAAAATCTGAAGAATCTTCTCTTTCTTCAACAGAATTCCATACTTCTCCTTCTTCCAATTCTTCACTGAAGCCATTGCTTTTTCTCGGGACGCTGCTCCAATTCGCCATTGATATCTGGTTTATGAGAGAAAAAAGTAAAATTATTTCGACCCAATATATATAGTTATACTGAACACTGATTAGTCGTCTATAAAATCGAAGAATAAAAATGGAGCAGGAGAAAAAGAAGAAAACTATAGATTCTAGAATTCTACCCAGGCTCTGTCACAGTCCCTCTAGAAAAAAAAACAGAGCTTTTGAAGAGTTCCTGAAATGGGTTTCGTGCATAATCCCAAAAGTAGCCGAATAATGACAGAGAAGCTGTAAATGAAGAAGAGGGGTAAAAAAGAAAAGAAAATGGTTGGTCTGAAAATCCCCAACGAAGATCACCGCTTTGAATGTACTGTGGCAAAAGACAGGGAGGGTTTAAAGGAGACCACAAAAACAGAGAGAAGACAGAGAGAGATCAGAGATGGGGTTTCCTTTTAACTCTAATGGCCCATTAAAAACTGAAAAGAAAATAAAAAAGAAAATAAAAGAAAGTGATGGGATATTAGAATCTCAGTTTCCCAATATTACACATTCTCACTCTTTTTTAATATGGAAATGAACTTTGTAAATATTGAAAGGACAAGGGAAAGTGGTGGCAATTGGCAGAACAAAGAGGAAAACGACAATAAGCCATTATGTTTTTCTTTTCTTTTTTCTTTTACAATTTACTCAACAGGAAAAGCCATTATAACCCCGTCTGAGGAAACACAGTTAATGGTGACCGAACAAATCAAAAAGACAGAGCATTTGATGCTCTATCTCTCTCTGTGTAGCATTATAAACAAAATAAAATTGTAAGGCTAATTAAAGGCTGTGTTAGTAGTTAGATGAGAGAGAGAGAGAGAGAGAGAGAGAGTGGGGGATGGGTGTGATTCTGACAGAAGCCTCACTGATTTGTGATTTGTTTCTGTAACCTTATCCTCTAACACAGCAACAGCAACTGCTCTGATTTGGCTTTTTACAGAGAGAAAGAAGAGTTACAGAGAGAGGTGCCCAACGTAGGACTTGGGGGGGCAGCTGCTTCAGGACAACGTAGTACTCTTTCTGCAGATATTACATTGAGATAGCGCAGTTAATTTTTGTTGTTTATGAGCCTATACATTTAATACAACTCCATCCCCCCTCTTCTTTTTCTCCTACCCAACCTTTGATGTGCTGAAGCTTCCCTGGTTCTTGGGAAGTTGGGAATCGGGAAACAATTGGCTTTCTTGTTTCCCATTTTGGTTGCAGAATTCAACTTTGTAAACCCCTTCTTTTTCTTTTTCTCTCGAGAACGGGAATTCGAATTCATGAACTTTTAGTTGGAGATAGATCTCTCAACCAGTTGAGTGTACTAAAGTAGATAGTAAACGTCTTACGTATATCTAATTACGTAACACAACAATCTACCTCCTTTCGACTTTCTCCAATAATTTCTAAAATTTGAGATGCCTCGGAGAAGGTGAAGTATTTTTGTTTAATAAATACTTTTGAAAGAAAATTAGTTAAATGCTTAATCAACAAGATTTAAGTCTTTTTTATATAGTTTTTTAGTTGGTTAAATGTACTTTTTAATACTCTTTAAAATTTCAGCAAAATTTTTTAAAAAATATTTTAATCGACCACAACTATATTAATAGACATGTCAAACACACCTCTACTCAAAATTTCCTAAGTTAACCAAAAGAGGATTGAATAGAAGAGAAAATAAGAACGGACAGTAAATTAAAATTTCACATCATCCCTTAAAAGAATAATATGGTTAATATATAGAAAAAGTAAATTTATATATTAAAAAAAAGACATTTTTTCAAATATCTTTTTAACTTTTTTTAGAAAGAGACAATTTTTTTTTAAAAAATAACTTGAGTAATAAGTCAAATTCACTAAGTTAATTAAACAATTTGTAATTCTAACATATTCCATCTTATCTTTTATCTCTCAACTATTTACCAAACAATTAACAATTTGGAGCCCTTTTTCAAAAGTTAAACATCAAAATATTCAAATTGATTCGTTGGTAAAGTAAGAATGGGGGAAAAGGCATTGGCTTTTTGTCATTTGTATTAAGTGAGGATAAGAGAAGAGGTTGAAAAGGAAGTCTCCCAATCAGGAAACCCACCGTAGGCTGCAACTTGGCTGTGAACCCAAAATTGTGCTCAACTTTTTGGCAACCATTCGTGACACTTCAAAAACTCCATTTACAACTTTCAGCATTTTTCCCTTTTCCAAAAAATATGTGTTAATTCAATAAAGATTTGGAGTTAATTATTATCTGCACATTCAAAGTTTGCCTACAATCCAAATTTTGGCCCTACCTAAAGTCAATAATTTGGATTTTGTAGTATGATAAGAGTTGCTAATTAGATTCACTAGGTGGGTAAGCTTTTCATCAATGAAGGGAAAAAGGAGAACCCATTTATACCAACCCAGAAAAATTATGAGAGAAAAAATTACCCACAATCGATCTTTTTGTTAGATTGTGTGATTCGATTTCGATATATCTCAATTGATTATTTTTATTGAATAATAAATAGTTACTAGAAGAGGAATTCTATGGTGGTAGCTGGAGGACTAGAAAAATAGGAAATTTTGGGTATATAAGGATAAAAAAAGGACCACCTTGCTTCAAATTTTAGTTGATCTAAGCGCACCAAAATTCCACTCCCCTTCTTATTACATTTTTTTTCCCAAAATCTTATGAACTATTCTTGTCTTTGAGATAAAGAGCATTAAATGGGGCCTAGAAATCAAAATCAATTGCAATCGTCCAAAAAGTTTTGGTTTACGAGCACCGCACAGCCAGTCTCAAAACTATCATTCCCACCACCATGGCTGTCCCAGCAGAAGCAACTTCGACCGTAAAAATAATAATAAATTCTAAAAAAAGAATGGTCATTTTTCAGTGGTGAACAGGTGACTGTACATAAACCACTTGATCTTATTTTCAGATTCTAGTTTTGGAGACATCAGAACAGATAGCTGCTCACTAGAAAGGTAATGCTGCATTTATCTCTAAGCTGAAATATGTTTGCGATGTACAGAAAGATGGATCATTTATTGAACTCTAAATCTCATGCTACCATGTATTCCTTGGCCTAAGGGCAAGGGCAACCAGTTCGTGACTAAGAGATCCTTGTAAATGGGGGAATGAAAGCAAGAATTATTAACTAAACCTGTACAGGACGATGAGTGTTGAGCGAGATTGAGTTTGATATCGTTCTGCTTTTCTATTGTTTATCTTGTTTTTCATTTCCTTGCTGCATGATAAAGCTCCAAATAGTCGAGAGCAGGTCGGTTCCAAGACCAATCTTGCTCCATCACTCTCTTGCACAATGAATGAAACCAACTTCGATCGTTGTACCATGCAGAGATTGCCCTGAAATGAAAACAAACTATTGTAACATGTATATAAGAATGGGAGAGCGTGATGGTTGTAGATCTGCAACCAATTTGATCGGATTCGACGAGCGATATGCAATGCTAGAATGTTCATCGCTACCGACCACTCTCAACATTTTTCCCACATTATAACCAAATAAATGAAAGAGTAGCAAAGAAAATGGATAGTAATCAATTATCAGCGGGTAAGGTAGAAGAGTTTGTCATTTGAATTCACCTTTCCATGGTATGCTTAGACAGGCAGTATAAAGAAAAGAACATGAACGGCAGAAAATTTCGTATGAAGAAGAAACTCACTCATCAGTTATGAATTTTCAACTGACCTATTAAGAGCATAGTCAACACCAGATGGATCTGCTCCTTCAAAATTGAATCCATTTGGTTCAAGGCCTGCTGCTTGTGCTCTTTCTTTATCATGATCAACGTCAAATACAGTGTCGTGAAGTCCTGCAAACAATAATAATCAGAAACTTTAGTGTATGATTAATTGTGAATTGTTGAAATAAAAACTGCGTTTTCGTTTAACTAAGTTTCAGAAATGGCTAATCCGCTGTTTCTCAATGTACTAATTGTAACGATTTTACAACTTCATATTTTAGACGAGTATGGCATAGTACTTCCAAAATATGATAAATGTATTTTAAATTGAGCATTATCCCTTGATTTACAACCAGATCTTTCCACCGGCATTTTATTTTAGCCCTGTTCGGCTTTTTTTTATTTTAAATAGACGTTTTTCATTATAATATACATTATTTAGCTATATATGGTTTTTTCACTCGATTATTACATTTACATATAATACTGATAGAAATATAAACTTTAAATGGCAAGCTAAAAAGTAACTATGAGCCAAAGTAACTCTATTTAGAAACAGATAGCTAAAAATGAGTGTGCCACTCTTTATTGGGGGGGGGAATATTGCCCAAACCTCCAGTTTTTCGAACAACAGGTACTGAACCATATCTCATTGCAGTGAGCTGAGTTAGACCACATGGCTCAAAAATCGAAGGGACCAGTATCAGATCCGCACCAGCATATATCTGCAATCATTGATTAGACGTGTTAATAATTAAATTGCAAGAACGTCGTAGCCTATTGAATTGAGTTCTTGCATCAACTTACCAAGTGCGAAAGAGGCTCATCATAAGTCAAACAAAGGCGAGCACGGTCCCCATGAGTCGAATGCAATTCATTTGCCAAATTCACAAAATCGTTTTGAATGCGTGGATCCGGAGCTGAACCAAGCAACACAACCTATCACAACACACCTAATTAGCAACATACATCAAGGAGCTAATCCTCATTATGTTTCTTAGTAAGACGGGCTAACACTGAAACAATAATCAAGCATTGCATCCTGTTAATTTCAAGAAAATCAAAGGAACGTGGGAAGACAAACCTGTCCACCCCGATCTATAGTTCGCCAGATGGCATGCTTGATGAGATGGATTCCCTTCTGATGAGTCAGGCGAGTGATAATTCCTATTAAAGGAAGATCAGACCTTTTTAGGCCAAGTCTCTGTTGTAATGCTTCCTTAGCAGCTCTTTTTCCCTCGATGACATTCTCTGAAGTGTAAGATACCTGCATATTTTGTACAAATAGATATCAGAATAAACTACATTGGAAATAAAGTTCCAAAAAAGAAAACATGTTAGGTCAGGTTTGCGATAAAATATTTCAAACGCCATAATCACAATGCTAACTGCTAAGTTAATCTTTGAGGAAAACAGCAATCCAAGGGTAAAAAGTGAAAATCCATACAAGAGAATCCTTGAAACTATGAGACCATACTTAACCTATTGCATTTATGCGCCCATACACAATGACTTCAGAGGTAATTTGATTAGCTGCGTTAACTTTTATTGAGAAAACCTACAAAAATAGTTGCAACAGAAGAAAAACAGGTGACCAAGAGAACTATATACACTTACAGGAATAAACTTGTCATTATATGGGTCCCATATATCAGGGTCAATCCCATTCACTATGCCACGAAACTTGTGAAGATGAGGAGCAATGACAGGATTTCCTGCGACCTCCCTCGAGTATGTAGGAGACACCTGCATATACACACACGTAGATGAAAATTCCAATGAAGCAAAAACTAAAACAACACAAAGCAATTGTAGAAAAGGCTACAAATCAAGGTAATAATTAAAGATGTTGAAGCAGGAGAAAACATTTGAAGAAGGAAATTGGGGAAGGTATCGTGCGTGCATAATTTCTTGAAGAAAGAAGAAGCTTAAAAAATATATGTTCAGTTGAATTTTATGTCATCAGAGAACAAAGTATTCTACACTAAAAGGAGTAATAGACCAGCAAGCCTCAGAGAATTCGGAAACTAAACAATATCCAGAAATATCGCATCGCAAGTCATGCATGTAAAGTTATTTATTGCTTAATAACGTGAAGTTACTGACAGTTGTAGCCTTGTCCGAGTACAACATTGCTCTCCCAATAAGCTGCGCTCCAAATTCTAAATTGTGAATCGTGAAGACAACCCGAGCTTTAGAAAGGCCATAGTGCATGTATTGTTCCTTGAATAACCAAGCAACTGGTGCACTAGACCAATCATGGCAATGGATAATATCCTGCCAAAGACAAAACACAATTAAGAACGTAACCTTTGTTACCACGATACACATGTACTTGCACGCATAGATAGAGAAGGGAAAGGACCATCTAAAATCAAATTTCCTAAGCAGTCTCACACAAGGTACACAGAGATGCGTATTAGGACTTGTTATTCATATTCTGTTATTTTAGTCTGTTATTTAGTTAACAAGTGGTTAACTTTAATTACTATCTTGTACTATCTTTACTTGGGAAATATATATCTCTAAGTCATTAACAAAAAGTGTGCAAGTAAAACGTAAAGAAGTGAAAAGTTTCATTTTGAACTTACCTTCTTTTTTTTATGCAAATAGA